AGGGCACTGTTTTTATGATGAAAAGAAAACTACGTGAGTTAAAACAGGTTTTGGAGACATATAGGTCTTTGTAAAGGCAGTTTACATAGTGAAGTGTACACACCAAAGAACCAAGGTTATTGATGTGTTTTGAAGTTAATACATCAATTATTTTGAATAGTGCTGTACTGGAGTTCAGTTTATCCACTGGGCAGGTTTTTCCTCAAGTTCAAATTCCCTCAGCGAGTATCTTACATAACTTGTATAAATGAGGTCATGTGAGGGTCAGAACCTCTGTGTGCAGTTAGCTCTCCATCTACTTCACTGATGAAATGTTGGTGTCTCTGAAGTGTATTTTGATAAGGATAAGATCTAGCTCACCATCATCTATTTAATGATATGAAACCAATGCATGATGTGATGAGGACTTTTTCTTTTTATGTAGCAACAATCATAAGAAAGCTACTTTTCCCATTCCCAGGAAAATCAGTTCCTTCCGAGGGCCTGACACTCTATCAGTGTTGTTGATAGAGTGCTTCCAATGATAGTTAACAAACAAAAAGCAGCCAGAAGAAAGTTTGCCTTTGATAACCAATATGCAGTATGCCATTTTGGCTATTACTGTGAAAAACAAAACCCCCCAAATTTAGTGGGTCTAAATTGGGAGGCAGAGGCAGGAACCTCTGGCTCTATTTATTATAATTTCTCACCATTCTTTAAGTTGACTGGCCCAGATAGGCATACTTCTATTGGTCTTGCTTGGAGTCTCTTATATGTAGTTGTAAGCAGCAGCTGAAGCTAGAGTTCTCTGGAGGCTCGTGTAGGCGGGCTGGAAGATCCAAAATGGTTTGTTTCTTCATTCACATCTGGTGCACTGGCTCACAGAGCCTCTCTCTCTCTACTTAAGAGCTCCATTCTCCATGATTTTTCCTCGCTGCTTCTCTTTCCATCAAGGTAGTCAGAGTTCCAACATGATGACTTACTTCCAAGAGTGTAACATTAAAAGATGGTCATGCCTTTTTTAGGCTTGGGCTAAAACCTGGCACAGTGTCACCTTTGGCCTCCTTCCATAAGTTAAAGCAAGTTGCAGAGCCAACCTAATCCAATGTGGGGGGACTATACAAGCACCTAAGTATCCAGGAGGGATGGCTCATGGGATGCCCTGTTTAGAAACTTGTTCAATAATGCTGGACAGAGTAGACTTTCAACTCTAATTATAAAACAGTCTTAGCCAGGCGTTGCTGCAGGCACCTGTAGTCCCAGCTACTTGGGAGGGGGAGGTAGGAGACTCACTTGAGCCCAGGAGTTGGTAGTTGCTGTGAGCTGTAATGCCACAGCACTCTCCCCAGGGCAACAGCTTGAAGCTCTGTCTCAAAAATAAAAACAAAAACAAAAACCAGTCTGAATATTTATATAACTGGCTCCAATACGGAGTACAGTTGAAGGGAAGTGACAGTAAGAGGAAGAAGCCACAAAGAGAGTATTTCAAAATAGTTGGTACTTTTTGGGTCTTGCAACTTGGCATATTAGACCACAAAGAAAATCAGTGTATCACCATTACCCAAACTGTGCACTCAGGTGGCTTACTTAATGATGCCTATTCTTTGAGAACTCTACAGCTAAGGTACCACAGTTCTAGCACATCTCAAGCATGTATTGTGGGTTGTCTCCGTCAGAAAAGAATTTAGACATCAAGGAAAATGAACAAGAGTCAAAAGAATGTGAATTGTTGGGAGGAGGGAATAGTAGCTAGGAGAGGCTGGCAGTAAAAAGCGCTCCCAAGACACCAGGGAGAGAAAAACCAGCACCTCCTCTTTCCTGCTCCTCTTAAACTTCTTAACATGCAGTATCTATGCTTCCACAGCCACAATATGCAGGTTTAGAGGGCAAGGCAAGAGCTCTGGCTCTCACAGGAAAACAGTCATATTTCAGTCTACAAAGATGGGGCACCTCCTTGACCTGAGTGGTCTGCGAATGAGGTTCCCTTCTCTTGTACTGAATCACTGTTCAACATCTAACCGCCTTGGTGTTTGTTTTTCTTATACATGTTCAGACTCTTATCATATTGTTCCCCTCCCTTTGAAAATATGTACTCTGCAGGTGCCTGAAATAACATACACCCACAAATTGCAGTTTTGTAAAAGAAAAGGTTTACATTCAGTCTAAACTCAAGGGAAATTTTGTTGCTTAACAAGGAAATACCAAATTAAATTATAAACTACGAGCAATAACCATGTCACATATAGCTTTAGTATCTCCTACCAACTGGGCTCATTGGCTACTTTTCTGATGCAGTAGTTTTAATAAGTAACTTGAATTGGTAACCATATACTCTTGTCTTCTTTGATGCAGAAATGGCATTTCATTATTATAACTCTGCATCTTTCATGTCAGGTTTTTTGTAAAAAATTTCTCCTAACCTCGTTTTCATTGTGCAGATAATGCTGCGGGGGTTTTCATATAACATCCAAAAGGATTTAATAAGAGTTGAAACAGCTAGCTTCAATTAAAAGTAATTAATTTAGGCTTCACTTATCTCAAGGAATATTTGAACATACAAATTTACACATAAATCCTGGGCGTGTCAAATTATGCAACTAAGAGAAAGTAAGTTCTTTATATATAGTTTTTTGGGCATTGCTGTTATAGTCAGGCTTTGTGTGTGTGTAATGTTTGAATGAAATAAACCACTGCTGGCACTGTCTATTTCACCTGGTTTTGAATAATTCCAAGAAGCTAGAAAATGAAAAATAGTCTTGTTACAGAGTTAGACTGTAAATGCATTAAGAGAACAAAAACAAAACAAAAACATTTATCTTTTCTTCTCTTAAATCTTATATGCATTCACAATACTCCTGGTTTCAAATTCGTTTAGTTTTCTGTGGGCAATGATTAATTTTTAAATAATTGTTTTTAATGTAAGACAAGATTCACTGTAGATTTAAAGCATTCTTAAAATAATAAAGATAAGGAAAAATTGTTTATGCTCATACAACTGTTACTACATTAGTGACCACCCTTCAATTTTTTTTCTAGATGCGTGTTTTTACAAAATGGTCCCATACTATATAAATCATTTCATAACTTTTTCCTTTCTTTCTCCCCTCTATATCTTGCGTACGTGAAAAAGAAATTTGCAAAGCATGCTGTTGCACTACACACCACCTCACCGAAAGACGCCATCTGTGGCGTGCTGTGTGTATTTTGGTAGAAAGAGAAAACTTGGGGTTCCTGTTTCCGCCCAGCTGCTGGTGGATAATACCCACCACTCTCAGACCTAAAGAGACTTCTCGGTTTACTCTAAGTGACCCGAGCCAAGCGAGAGTGCCGAGCACGTGGAGTAAGAGAAGGGCGTTGAGGAAGACTTCAAGCGCAAGCTCCCGGCTCGGACCACATCTCCCTGGGCAGGGCCTGTCGGCCTCAGCCCCAGAAGGGACCAAGGGAGAAAGGACAGTAGGCTACGCTCAGGGTCTGGGTCCGAGCCTTTAGTCCCCGCCCCACCCCTTCAGGCTGGCGCCACTCTCCGGCGCTAGAATGAGATAACGCGGAGCAAGGTTCTACAACTCCAAATCAGGGAGGCGCAGCTCCGATACCCAAGTCTTTGCCCGGACTCCGGGTGTGTTTGTTCTAACTGTTCAAACTGTTTCAAAGCGCCCCAACTCCAAGCGACCTTCCCAAATAACTCTTTACCTCTTGGGCGAGAGCCCTGCCCTTATTTGCGGGGGAGGGCAACATGATCGCTGGGCCAGGGGAGTTAAAGGCCTCCACCTCTTCGCACACCGCCCGCTGGGACCCCATCCCGCCCCCGGACCTCGAGCTTCTTGCGTCAGCTGCAGCGGGGGTGGGGGATTTGGGGCAGCGCGACCAGCGCGGCCAGCAGGAGAAGGAAGGCCCAGACTCTTGCCCCGCCCTTGGGGGGCGGAGGGCGGAGCGGGACAGAGCCCGG